CCCCCCCCCCCCCCCCCCCCGATTCCGTCCCATCAACACAGCAGCAACCGAATAGGTAGCAGCTTTGAGTCGAAGAACTACTACTCGAAATGTTTTGCATCACGGTTGTGGGAGATCAGGAAGGGCTCTTGTTTCAGGAAAGTCGACTCACAATCTTCTTGCTCGCCTCCTTGTTGTTCGCGACTCTACATAAGTAGCAGGCACTACAACACGGAGGAAATATCGAACAAACACGACACGAGAGGCTTCTACAAAGATGCAGCGGGGGGCGAGGGAACCACACACGTTCGTAAACTTGCCTCGTTCACCTCACGCTCCACACAGGCACACGAACCAGCTTTGGGCGCGCAGCGCACCAAGATACAAGACGGCTTCTCGCACGACAATCACGATACCGACAGTTTACAAAAAACAAATCAAGATGGAAATACTCACAGACTCCAACCAAACGACTAGGAAAAAAAAAAAATCAGCAGCAGCTAATGACGATGGAGATACACAGATTCCAAGGGAACGACTACAAGAATAAATATTTATATATATTCCCAGTCAGCGGTACCTGCAGCGCTTTTCGCGGTGGAAACTTCCTTCGATGCCGCTGGATTAGCGCCGCGTAGCCGCAAGTCTCGTCACCATTCTCATCTCTGTGTTTCGGACGCAAAACGGAAAAAACGGGGTCCAGGTGCGGGGGGGGGGGGGGGGGTTCTCATGTAAATACAGCCGTAGTCGTTGGAACGCCAGGACGGAGCGATATGCCCGGGTTTTTTCCCGGTCAAGAGGGGGGGGGATAGAAAGTTTACCACGACACGGTCGACATAAGCTCTAACTGACATTAAAAGGATGGCGTGGTGCGGGTAGTTGAGACTTTCCCTGATCGTTGCCGAAGCCACACACAACGCAAATCGGTCTCTCCACCTACTACTGCTGTATCCAACTTCCCGCCAAGAGAGAGGGATGTCGGACCCTATCAAAAGCGAAGAAGACCACCACACCCGAAAAAACGAAAAAATTTCGTCCGAAAAATCAACCCCTACGAAGGGTGTCGATGACACTCGAAATGACAAAAAATATCGCCAAACACATTCGATCCCTAAAAAGGGTGTCGATGACACTCGCAAAAAAAAACGAACGCATCCATCTTAACCTTACGGGTGGTGACGACACCCGAATTTTTTTTTTGAAACACATTCCATCTCTACGAAGGGTGGCGACGACCACCCTAGAAAAAAAAAAAATCGCTGAAAAAAAAAAAACGTTGATTGAAACACCATCCTATCCCCACGAAGGGTGTCGATGTCGGGAGTTCCACCACCCGGCGGCATTCTCACCGTAGTTCTTCCTCGGGGTCCTCTTCCTCGTCATCTCTCGTTGGAGCTTTCGTGTCAGCCCCCCCTTCACCGCCGCCAGTGGCAGAAGCAGTCGACGCGCCCGAGGGCAGTTGTTCGAGAGCGAGGGCTCGCTGGACCCCCTTCGTGGAGGAGAAGCTGAGAAAAAAAAACAAAACACAAAGAGATCGGGATCGAGCGCGCGTACGGGATTGTAGATGAGCTGCTCGATCCGCCGCAACGATTCATTGGCCTTGCCAGTCAGGGAAGTGTCTACATACCCGAGAGAGACAACAGCAAAAATCGGGCTGCATGAGCTATTAATAGTTGGTCGGAAACAAGGTGTTCGAAAGTCAAGCACACGAGCCCCCCACCGAAACATGGTGCACGAAAGAGAGTTTCTTCGAGCGACCGAGCCCCCACGGAAGCATGAGGTACGAAGAGATGCTATTCGAGTCACGGAGCCCCCCACCAAAACATGGTGCACGAAAGAGAGTTTCTTCGAGCGACGGAGCTCCCCGAAGAGCCAACAAAACCAACATGTACCTAGATTCAGATTACGATGCTCAGAAGGGCGTTGATTTGTTTCGCACCTTGAACCTGAGGGTGCGTGGCACATGTGACCGACATGATTTTATATAGCGCACGGAGGGCCTATCGTGTCCACACAAATATTGTATTTAACTGGCGTGTGCCCAGCGTGGCTGGAAGTAGCCTCTTAAGAGGGATAACAGCGTCTTTTCATCTTTCAGCCCGTTAGCTCGGTCGATGCTACTGAAAGAAACCTACACATACTCATCCCCCGTGACGCCCCCTCACGGGGTCCCGGATCATGGCCTTTTCTGTTTTCAACCTCACTGAGACTGGCGTATTTTCATTGGTCAGCCGGTTAGCGCGATCGACGCTACAACTAAAGCCGGAAATTTTATTTTATTTTTGGGAGGCCAACATCGGCTACATATTGAAGTTTCGCCAGCTTGATGCTCAGCACCCCAAGGTGCGCTGAAATAAACACACGCACGCTCACCACACGTGGGCGAATCTCGCGGCACCGGTGTGTTTCCTTCCGGTCACCGTTGTTCCCCTCGCGTCACCGACCCCGCCGCCCGTGGCCGCCGACGCTGCTGCTGACACTTGCACGTGAAGGATCTTTCCGCAAGGGGACAGGGCTCGTCGCAACCTTGCCTCGATCGTCTTGCGGCAGAGGCGCCCCCCTGACCCGTCCATTTACGCGCCCGCAAGCAAATAAGTGGTACCATTTTGTTTTAAGGGAAACACAAGGTTCACGTTGTCACACGCAAAATGAGAAAATCAGCAACAACCTCGCGATCGGTTGGCACGAAGCCCTTACAGCTCGACGGGGTGGGACCTATGCGAAACAGAGTCGACAAAAAAAAACTGTGCTCAACGGCAGTGGTGGCGGCGAGACAAGAAAGTGAGCCTCGATCCGATATCGGCGTGTACTAGCTGCGGCCCCCCTAAGGTAATATCTTCACGTACGGGAAAATGTGCCATGAGAGTACAACCACGAAGAAGTTGCGAAGGCTAGAAAGCGAGAAGGAGGATCGAGTCGCCGGGAGGGTCTACATGTGGGAGGCGGCAGGGGGGGGGGGGGAAGAGATCGTCATCATGACCGCACCGGCCGGCCCGGCAGCACGGAGCGAGTGCGGGTTTCAAGTCGTCGTGTATCGGTATCGGTTGATGCTATTCAATCGATGGTAGATCTTTTCAGGATGGACTGGGGATCGCACTCGGTCTCAAGAGCGACGAGAGGCAGACGGCGGAGTGGCAACAGCAGCAAGGCCGAGGAAAATATGTTTTTGATTTTGGTCGCTTTGTTCTCAAGGCTTGCCTGCGTTCAGCAACCACGATTCGAGGCTCCAAGACCTGTGGCACAGCAAGCTGCGCTATTCAGCAGATGCTAGCGATACCACTCGCAGCTGCGCCAACGAACAACCTTCCTGTGTCGTGGGTTGGCACGGCGAAAGCTAGTGGCGCCCACGGGCGCTAACGAACGACGGGAAGATGTTCAACCTGTTGCTGTCTGGTCTACTCATCACACAGCATGCTGCCCGTTTCTTATCCCTCAGAAAGGCAGTAAATGGACTAATTTTATAGCCAGGAGTAGGGGCAGGAAGTACCAGAATTACAGCAGTACTGGTGGTAGTACAGCAGTGATGGTAGTACAGCAGTGAGCGAGCATGCTTCTACGAGCGGAATTAAAACAGGTTAGACTTAGGCTGACATGCACCCCCCGCCGCCTCGTAAGCCGACGTTGTGATTAGGTGGCAGGTGTTCAATGGCCAATTAACATTCACACATTGTGACAAAGCATGAGTCAGCTCACATATGTCGTACAGATCACCATGGAACAAACATACCCAGATCACCAATGTCCTTCAGGTCACCATGGAGCAAGGATACGTTGCATAGGATAACTATGGATAGACTATGTCCTACTGGACTTAATTCTACCCTTCGAAAGACGAAAGAGCTATATTGTAGGTACATGCTCGATGCGATGTATGCATAGGGATAGCATATTTGCAAGCTAAAAAGAACTGCTGCCACTCACCATACGCACGCGGAGGGGGTTGGTACTGATCGAGTGCTACGCAATCGGCTGGGTTTCGCGGTTGCTCTTATATAACAACAACAACAACCACAGCAGTATATTGGTACACAAAGCAGTAGCCGACAACCGCGCCACCCAACAGATGCAACGAAGGCAGAGTTCGTGTCAGTCCGCACCTTGGTCGTCGACGTTCCCCACGAACAGAGTTGTTCCCCTGGCGGAGGCAGCAGTGGTCTCTCGGCCACCCTCCCCGCCTGCTGCAGACACGGCCGCCTTGAACAGCCCCTTGTGCTCCTTGAGGTGCAAGTGCCTGAAGCCACGGCTGGTCCCGGCCCCTGCATCCGCTAGGGCCTGTGGGACCACTCGGTAGCCCTTAGCCACGAGAGCCATATGGCTACAATCTTGTCGTGTGAAGAGAGGTCCTTGCCGCTTGGCTCCGAAGAAGACAAGTCAACACGCAGCCGAGTGCGCTCGCGTGACCGGGTAGGTGTGCCCTGAGAGAGGAGGAGGCGGGCTTGGAGAGGAAGTGACTCAAGATAGGTGGTAGGCAGCGTTCATTATAATCTGAAGAGGCATTGAACTCTCAAGTAAAACGCGAGCCCCGTTATTGTCGAAGGTGGGCATGGAATATGATCCACGGTGCCCCCTTGCCTCCTGCCACATCCATCTGCACACACACCACGCTGGAAGGCCACAGCAACGGGTGTTTCATAACCATCGACCACGGGATTGGCCCTAGAACAGCAGGTGGGTGAGAGATGGGTGCAGCCCGTGCTGCCGCCTGAGTTGAAATGCGTGACACAATTGAGCTTCCCGTCTTTGTGGGCCTGTGGATCCTCATCTCGTTCCCACTTACTTTCCCGCCCACCCACACACGGACGTCCACCGACTGCTGTTGTTTCGCGATATAAACGGATAATAGGGCAACAAGAGGCTTGCCCCACGGTTCGGTACGATGCGAGCAACGACCCGAGCATTCGTGGGGCGAGCTTTGTGCGTTTACAGTTGCAATGTTGTTTGTTGGCTTGGATGGTGTGTGCCCCTTATTTCTTTTTTTTTTCAATCCCCTCCCGCCCGACCGAAGGTTGTTTCGTTGGTCTGGTGTACCGGTGTCCAAACCCAGAGATGATGGAGCAATCCCACACGGCAAGTGCGCTTGCGCTTTTGCTCGAATATAGCCAAGCAGTGGTGTGCTCCTTATTTTTTTTTCGTATTGTCAGAGGATTATGAATGCGGTTGTACGCACGAACCTCCCCCCGCGGTGTGTCGAAGGTCGCCGGAGCAGCACGCAAAGCATGGCAAAGACTACTTTTTTTTTTTTCTTTACTTCAAACAGCGCTCACACCACTAGTGCCGTTTACTCCAACCCGTGGTCACACAGAAGGACCCCTCTCTACGCTCCCCTCCTGCGGTATGTTGCCTTTGATTTTTAATGCCAGAAGAGTTCAGCACTCTCTTCCCTCTGTGTATACACGAACTAGCGCTATCCACTAGGCCAGGAGCGGAAGCGAGAGAAATACTAATATACTCATTGCAAGGAAAGCTCGCTTACGGCGGGATTCGAACCCCTGACCTGACCTCTAGAAGGTTTCGAGGATACCAACTAGACCACCGGGGCGACTGGCCACTACTGCAAGGTATTGAGTCGGCTACCCCGCGGCTCATTACCCCGCCCTATCTACATAGTATCGGAGCCCCTCTTATAAAGCACCCTCTTATATCGGAACCACGACTGCCGGATAGCGCTTGGTATCATTCCCCCTCCAAGAGTCGAGGTGTTTGGGCTGATGTGTGCCGAGCGCCGTCGGATAAGCACCGAATGCGTTCGTGACACTCGCCCGCGGCCAAGGCACGGCCTACCTATAGCGGCCGCGGAGTGGGCGAGAACGCGGCTGCGCCGCGTTGTCGGAATGCGGAACAGAGAGGGAGGGCGCTGGAGAGGAATCGACCGAACGCTCGGCCAATCAGAGGGCGCAAAAGGCCGTATGTTAAGGAGTGTGGCTGCTAGCTTAAATAGGGTACATCTTATTGTTGATAGGATGTGGGTCGGTCCCAGGAGGTATACCCTTCAGACACCTACCCTCTTAGGATTTGTCTAGTCTGCGTACCCCAAGAGGTGAAGTTGGATCCCCACTTCACCTCAGACCCTTGCTGATCGTCTCTCAGCAATAACAAGCAACTTTCTCATCTCTACGTGATCGTGGACAAGCGTGTCAACGACAGAACCTACCTTCATCTATCTCTAGGAGCAAGCTACCGCCCACGGCTTGCCCTCCTTTAAACTTGGTATCCGTCGATTGACTTTTACCAGAATCGGTACACCTTCGCATATGGCGTCAGCTGGATACTGGTTCGAATCTCCTTGGGTGCACGTTTTTTTCTCCTGACTTGGACATTTTCCCATGGACACATTGTGTGTCAGTCCTGAGAACACCTCTTGGAATCGATCCTATAAAGAACCTTGTGACACTTCCATCGAATTACCCGTCCTGGCCACAAGAGGTTCCCAGTTGAGGGTAAATTCTGTGGGTGGAGAGTGTTAAGGAGGACCCGATTCGCAGGGTATCCGTCGATTGACTTTTACCAGAATCGGTACACCTTCGCACGTAGATGGGAAGAGTCATCAGCAGACCGTAAAAACATACAAACAGCAGTTGCACTTCCCTCGATAAATGCAAGGAAGCATGCCTAGGAGCAGCGTTGTCGCCGCCAGCAAGCAAACAAGTACGTATTTGTTCGCTCAGTCAAAGTATCCGGCCAGTCTCCATCGACCAATGTGCCACCAAACTGTCTTGCTGAGCCTGTTACCCACAAGGGAGATATCCCTGTGTCTATAGATGGATTTCGTTTTATCATATTTTAAGAAAATAAAATAGTAAAATGGTATTCATAAGAACGAGGACATGCTGTCAAGGACTTTCGTATCGTGCGGGCGACGTCTCGGCGTATGATGTGACATGCTGCACCGTTCGCCAATCTAGACTGCAAGACTAGCCAAGAAAATGTAACCCTTCGAAGGACAGGCTGCAGAGTGCTGTGAGAGCACCATCACGCTTCTTGGGGTGGCCGGGCTCGTGGAGAACAAAGAAGGCATCTTACATACACTCGGATCGCTGGGCAGGCTCCTCTCGATGTCTACATCGGCGTATGATTCACTCCTCAATTCCTCGCTCAATTTCTTTTTTGCTGCGACCTCGCACCGAACTTCACAGGGAAGAGGCCTTTTCATGTCGTACTACGGGAGTGGCGGCGGCGGCGGGTATGGAGGGGGAGGGGGGCGGGGCTATGGAGGTGGCCGGGGGGGCGGGGGAGGCCCGCGGGGCGGAGGCATGGGCATGTATGGGGGGGGGGGCATGGATCGCAACCCTCGCGACAGGTGATTGGTTGAGGGGGGCGGACGTTCTTGATTTCTCCGAAGGGGCTGACGGAAGTCCTCAAATTTGCGACCGCCAATCCCAAGTCGGTATAGGTTTATGGTTCAGGCTGCGATGGCATCTGATCATCTTCAACCCCCCGACTTCCGTTCTTTATTTCCTGAAACATCCTTCGTATTGTATGTACTTGGAAGTACTTCCATCGGAGTTCGTCTCCATAAGCGAGAGAGCTGTGTCCGGCGGGTGTTTGGGCGGCGTGACGTGGTGTGTGGGGGGGTTGATCGGGTGGTTGCTTCTGCTTAGCGACGCGGGTGGCCTCGCAGTACACCAGTCGTCCCCGCTTTAGAAACACTCGTGGTTTTTCTTAAGCCTTAGAGCGGAGCGAGGATGTCCTTGGAACTATTCCCCCCTTTTTGTAGGGATGCAAAGTCAATATGGTCTAATGACTACGGCATACACGGCTATGGCTATAACCCATTTGTTTGCATTCTGCGGGGCGCCATGCTTCTGAAAGAATGGCGTCCTACAACCAGGGAGTGTCTTCAATTTTTGTGCCATTACATGGCCTGGACGTGGGTGCGACCTTTGCTGTTGCTTTTGATGAGGTTACTGCTGTTGTTACCGTCTGCTGTATTCTCTCATGCTCCCATACGGCTGCTTAGCACCATACATGGTATTGTATAAGGACCATTCGGGTACAAACGTGAATGTCCCCATGGGTCCCCTTTATATCCGGACAAAGTGGCACGATGCACAACGCTTGATGCCGCTCTTTTTTCGCCCTCCCCTAACCCCTCGATATTGTACAATCGGCGGATCCCCCTTCTGTGCTGATGTGGGTCCGAAGGAATGGCATGTCTGGGTCGGCGAGAGGCGGTGCGGAGCATTTGGCGCGGATCCACGGTACAGAGGAAGACAAGGTGAGAAAACTAATTCAGCAAGCAATGGCGCTTTCAGGAGCGCAAGGAAAGTTTGCAGCGGAACTGCAATGTAGCGGCGTTGTTGCAGCGGCAGAAGCCGTAGCAGCAGCATAAGGGCAACAGCGAGCTCTTGAGTGTCCAGCAGGTTTCTTTACCCTTCTCTGTTGTTGTAGGACTGAAACAGTTGCCTTCGATTGGGCCATTTGCTCGAACGGTTAGGTCTTTTCGGCGATTGTACATATGTAGTAGGAGTAGGAGTTTGTTCAAACAAGGAAGGCACAGAAAGAGATGGATGGGACAGAGAGACAGAGACAGACAGATATTAATCGCACGCAGGAGAAGAAGTAAACACACGCATGTGCAACGCAGACAGAAACACACGCACACCCCTTCATTACCAAATTCCACACAACCGGCGTGTGCGTCTCGCCCCCCCCCCCTCCACACACTGGTCTTGGACTCATCAGGTGAACTGCCCGTTCTTCTACAAGATCGGCGCTTGCCGCCACGGAGACCGGTGCTCGCGGCAGCACCACAAGCCGCCCTTCAGCCAGACCATCCTGGTGCAGAACCTCTACCAGAACCCGGTGTCGGCGGTGATGGCCGCAGGGGGTGACCCCTCCCAACTTCCCAAAGATCATGTCCAGGACGATGTGAGTTTGTGTGTTTGTACAGCAGTTAGCGCCCGCGATTGAGAAGCGAACTTAAGATGTTGAAGCTCAACTTTTCATGAAAATAAAAGTAGGAAAATTGGGTTTAGAGTCGTAGCCCATCCGTGGAGCCTACACTAAACTCTATATATTGACCTGTGCTCCACGGTGGGGAATAAATAAGAAATTATCCTCGACTCAAATTGGCGTTTTCTTAACGCGGGCGCTATCTGTATTTGTGTGTAAGGCTCCCCTTCGGGAGTTCGGTGATATTCCTCCCGGTGTCGGCGCAAGAGGACAATGGCGACTACGACATGGCCTTGGTTTTTTTCTTTGTCTCCCGTGCAACTTTTTTCGTGGCGAGATTTCCCCCTGCTGACCGGTGTAGTTGCTTTTTTACCCCCCCGCTGAACACCTCTATTTGCATGTTTTGTTTTTCATTCACTCGTTCGTTCCGATAGTTCGAGGATTTTTTCGAGGAGGTTTACCAGGAGCTCAGCAAGTTCGGAGAAATTTCCGAGATGAATGTTTGCGACAATCTCGGAGACCACCTCATCGGCAACGTTTACGTTAAGGTGAGCAGCAGGCACAACAGCAACAGCAACAGCAGCAGCAACAGCAGCAGCAGCAGCAGCAGGTCATGTTTCAATTCCACCCCCGTTAAGGTTGCAAGTGGAAGACTGAGGGCCCTCCCTACCCGTAGATGAGGATGATGTTTTTCAAGGAACCTACAGTTGTGTGGTTTGCTTACAGCAACCGAACCATTCGACCAGTCAGCTTTGACGGTATAATCAGGATGAGAGTATTTTTTTTCAAGGAACCTCCAGCAACGGTGTGGTTTTCTTAACGCAACCAAAATAACCCCGTTAGACCAATTAGCTGACTTGGCCCGATGGTTTCGTTCGGGTGCCAAGAGGGCTTAACTAACTGGCCTTACATGTCAGCTGACTGGGACCCCACATTTTCGGTCGCTCTCTGTTCTTCCTTTTTCTTGGCTAAAATAGTTCCTTGACGAAGAAGACGCCGATTCTGCTCTCAAGGGCCTCATGGGAAGGTGGTACGCCAGTCGGCCCATCATGTGCGAGTTCAGTCCGGTGACAGACTTCCGGGAGGCACGCTGCCGGCAGTTCGACGAGGGCACGTGCAACAGGTGAAGCGAGAGAGAGAGGGGGGGGGGGGGGCGTACTCATGCGAACGCGTACTGTTGTTGTTGGATCGTTGACCACGCGTCCTCGAGAGCGGTTAGACCATTGACGGGGTGGGGGAGTCTTCTGCTATGGCTTGTTTGGGAGGCACCAAGCCGTCGTAAATTTTGCTTGTATGCACGCACATTCATAAGCAACCCCACCCCCCCCGCCCGCCCGTATCGATGTGTTCGGCCGTGTCTGTATTGGTTATTTCTCAGGGGAGGGCAGTGTAACTTCATGCACGTGAAGCCGGTCCCCCGCTTGGTCATGTCCTACCTGGAGAAGGTGAGAGGGAAACAGGCCCCACAGATGCTTGTGGGGTTTAGTACCCTTTGTTTGAAAAGCGACGCCGTTCATTGGCCAGCCGGTTAGCGCGGTCTACGCTAAGAACAAGAGAGAGAGTACTGCATGTGTTTTCAACCGCTTAGAGACTGACGTTTTTTCATTGGTCAGCCGGGTAGCGCGGTTGATGACGCTTGAGAAAACTCACACACAGAGTCTGTCGTCCAACTGGTGCACCTCCCTTGTCGGTGGAACCCTCGCTTACCCTTTGACTATTTAGGAAGTGTTCGCGCGATTTTTTTTCCGCCGCACGTCTTTTCATTGTTGGTCAGCCGGTCAGCGCGGTCGATGCTATTTATGAAAACACGCACACTTGCACACCCTCACGGGGTCCCAGATGATGGTCTCTTGAAGTATTTTTTGTTTTCAACCGCACTGAGACTGACTTTTTTCATTGGTCAGCCGGTTAGCGCGGTCGATGCTGCTTGAGAAAATACAGACACACACACGGGGTCCTAGATCATGGTCTCTTGAAGTATTTTGTGTTTTCAACCGCACTGAGACTGACTTTTTTTCATTGGTCAGCCGGTTAGCGCGGTCGATGCCAATGTTAACAAAACACACACGCACAACTTTTCATTGGTCAGTCGGTTCGCGCGGTCGATGCCAATGTTAACAAAACACACACACACACGGGGGGGGGGTGCCAGATCATGGCCATTAGAAGAATTTTCTGTTTCAACCGCACTGAGGCTGACGTCTTTTCATTGGTCAGCCGGTTAGCGCGGTCGATGCCAATGCTAACAAACAAAACGCACACACACACACACTGTTTCTGTCTTTGATCCGAAGGAAAGTTTAGCCTCCCCCATGCTGCCCCCTCACGGGGTCCCAGTTCATAGCAGATGGAAGCGTTTTGTGTTTTCAATCGCGCTAAGACTGACGTCTTTTCATTGGTCAGCCGGTTAGCGCGGTCGATGCTAATAGTAAAAACACACGCACACACACACACGTTCCGGCGTCGGGTTCGTTCTCTGCACGCATTCCGCCGCAATGCAGCTCCTTCGCAAGAAGAAGGGAGGCGGCGGGGGTAACGACGACGACGACGGCGGGGAACGCCGCAGCAGCAGAAAGCGGTCCCGCTCCCGCAGCAGGGACAGAGACAGGTGAGACGGGGGGGGGCGGGGGGGGGGGGGGGGGGGGCTTTTCCCCCTTTTGGCGGGCCGCCTTGGGGGAACCTTTGGGGAAAGGAGGGGGGGTTTTTCCCCCGGGACCAAAACCCGGGGGCCAATTTTTTTTTTTTTTTTGACAAAAGGGGGGGCAAAAGGGGGGGGGGGGGGGGCCCCCCCCCCCCTGGAAACCCCCCCAAATTTAAATTTTTTCCCCCCCCCCCCTCCGGGGGAAAGGGGGGGCGGAAACCCCCCCCCCCCCCCCTTTTTTGAAAAAACCGGGGATTTCTCTTTTCCCCCCTTTTTTAAA